GAATCTGAAAATTTGACCGTAGCTCCATTTGTGGTCATATGCGCTCGTATCCTTTCCCGTTAACCTCTGCTGTATTTGTATCGCATCGTATCCCCTACGGTTTCAAGTGCATGGGCAAAGTTCTTCTATTCAGTTTCATTATGTTTTTGCATAGGATAGTTTTGTATCGATGACGAAAATATTGGAAGCAAGATGTACTAGGTTGTACTACACTACTCTAGCCCAAGAAAGGGGTAGTCGGGGTGTTTGTGCATCACACATGTTTGCAAAATGTATAGAACATAAGATACAAATCATGAAACCGAAATGTGCAAGAAAGTTTCAAAGAATATGTGATACCATCCTTGTTCTCGATTCGTTAGTGAGGTACTGATTTCTCCATCTGCCCGTTGAAACGAAAATACGATAGGGTTATGAAGCACATTATTCATGAGAATAACGAACTATGATATAAAAAGATATCATTTAAAAAGCGTAATTTGAATACAAATACTATAATTGTACTTACCATTCAATAATACTCAAGACGACTGAAGTAGAAGAAAAATGGGTGAATATATGGTTGTGTAGATAAACAAATGCGAAAAAGACTAGGTAATAATATGAGAAGCGCACGTTTATTTTCTTTTCTTAACTGTAATGATCACAAATGAATAGATCTTTTTTCTTTTACCTAAACAAAATAACAAGCGAGCAATCAGATAATGAGTCAATAAACAACGTCTTTTTCTGGTTGCGCATATAACGAACGTTACCTGTAATTAATCCATGAAGAAAAAAAAACATTAGCCGGCTCTCTCAAGTTAACGAAAGCATGTCGTTAGTTGATTTTTGACTTTCGTCTCAAAAGCACGCATACTTTGTCGATATTTTTCAATGTAGGAAAAAAAGTGCAATATACATAGGGTAGTCAAAAAGTTCTGCAAACAGCTGTCTAAAATTTCATCCTAATTGGTTTTATTCCTCATGTTGGCCTATTCTAGTAGTGACATCTCTTATGTATTAAAATACCAAAATGAAGTTTCACAAGTGTCTATTATGGCAAATTTTCAACGAATTTTTTGAACACCCCTGTTTTCAGATGGAAAAACAGCACATACGCTTATATATAAAAACTCGTTGGTTATTAGGTTTAACAGCTACACAAATTCATGATAAATTAACTACTGCTTATGGACAAGGTGTAGTTTCATATTGTACAGTTACTCGATGGATTCAGCGATTTTCAAATGAGCAAGAATCTTTTGAAGATAATCCTCGAAGTGGTCGTCCAATAACCGCCATCACTCAACAAAATATTGATGCTGTTAAGGATCTGGTGAACGATGATCCACATATTAGTATTGATTATATTGCTGCCATCTTAGATATATCACATGGTAGTGTAGATGCCATTCTCAAACAGCACCTTGGCTTAAGAAAGATAACATCAAAATGGGTACCTCATAAACTGACACAAGAACAACGACAACGACGTATTGACATTTGTATCGAAAATTTACAGAAACTTGAAAGTGGTATCTGGAGACTGTGTGATATAGTCACGGGTGATGAAACTTGGATTTACCATCGAAAAATTAAATCAAAAGAACAATCTAAAGCATGGGTAACAAAAGATGAAAGTCCTCCAACACAGGTGAGAAGACAACAATTCGAAAAAAAATACAATGTTTATGATTTTTTTTATGACAAATGGACCGTTACTAATTCATGAATTACCTTCTGGGACATCAATTAATGCTATTTATTATCGTGATGAATGTTTAAAAACACTAGTCAAAAATTTACATAAGAAAAGACCATTATCAACAACAAATGGCATTAAGCTGCATCATGATAATGCACGACCACATATGAATAACATTGTTTTTAATTATCTTCAAGAAGAAAAAGTCAAGATTATGGCTCATCCACCATACTCTCCCGACCTTGCTCCTTCAGACTTTTGGTTATTCAATTGCCTGAAACGTAATCTTGATACATATCCAGATGCTACAAGTTTAGCTACGGTAATAACCAAGGAGCTTAAATCAATACCTATTCACGAATACCAAAAGACATTTCAGAAATGGATTGAAAGGATGAAACTTTGTATTGAACATCATGGGGACTACTTCGAACATTTACTGTAAAAAGATTAGCAAAATATTTTCTCTATGAATAAATATTTGAAAGTTGCAGAACTTTTTGACTACCCTATGTACATGTTTGAGCTCTCTTGATATGACCAAAAATCGCGCAAACAGTCGCGTAGAAAAGTCCTCAATCCGAATATTGGCTTATTCTGAGTAAAGCCTTTCGCCTGCATCCTCATTTGGGTGAGGGTGAGGGTGAGTCTAGCTACCATAATCTTGATTTCACGCCAGTAACGACGATCATCAGATGGAAAATACAATCAATGGACCTCGAAAGATCTCAAAGATCCAATCCAATGAACCGTCAGAAAAACTCGAAATTAGAATTGGATCTTTTGGATTCTTTATTGAATCACTTGAAGATCTTAAGCCATCTGATGATCGTCTTAGTCGACGTGGTATCTAGATTATGGTAGCTGTACTCGCCCCCTCACCCTCGAGAGTGACAGCTGAATCAAGATCTCGTGGCACTCACAGTATGAGATGCTGCCCTTGGCTTTGATTAACTCTTCATTAGGATAGAACGCCTTCTGAGTCTCTGTCGACGACAGCAGAGAATGGAATTTCAGATAGCATTTCGAGGATTTCCAACAGAAAGACAATCTAGTACTGATCATTCTCAAGAGAGAAGACTTGCAGCAAAGCTCTCTTCAGTTCACTGAAGATTGCAGACGTTTCTCTTGAAAGAGTCCTTGTTGTTCGAGACAATTCATTTACGACATATCCTGCCATTTCTTCTACTATTGCATAGAGAATGACAGTAAGGAGAGACCGCGACGACTTGAGAAGGTCGTCCCGAGCGCAGAGGACGAGACACAAATACACTTACAGACACTAAACAGCAAAGAATCTGATCAAATGCTCATAAAGCTGGAAAATCTCATCATTTTTACATAGAACAACGATAGAATTCAAAGATTTTGTCTTGAATTCTTCAAAGAGATTGCTATTTTGTTGAGAAATTCTTCAATTTTGAACTACAAATCATCAACAAGATGAATTCATTTTTTAAGAGAATACTCGAATTTCTAGTCAATTGGATAGATATCAAAGAAATTCTTCAAGGGTAGTACATACAGAGGGAACACTGAATCAAGATTCGTGGCACCCACAGTGAGAGATGCTGCCCTTGGCATTGAGAAGCTCCTTCATTAGGACAGAACGCCTTCTGATTCTATGTCGTGGAGAGGTGAATCCGTTTCCGAATTAGAGAATTCCTTCATCATACAATGTTAAACTCACACCCACACTCTCAAGTGGTGTCAGTTCGGTCTAATTAATTAGGAATATAATCGGTTTATTAAATAATAACCGTTTACCGTTGATTTATCGATTTCGAATATTAATCCGATTATTAATTGAATAATTGATTAAAACCTTCAAAAGAGGATTATTTTTTAATTGATTATCGAAGTTTAATTGATTTTAATCGAATTATTTCTGAAAAAAACAGATTTCTACCAAAAAATCTGATTATTTTGTTTGAAATCAAAAATAATCATGATTTTTTTGAAGATATTTTTCACTGAGCACTGATTTCTTTTTTCAATCGGTTAATCATTCAT